GTAGATACTGAGGAGGACTGCCAGAGGATACAGCAGCATGCAGTTAGGCTAGAGAGTTGGGCTGAGAATTGGCAGATGGAGTTTAATCCAAACAAAAATGTGAGGTGATACATTTTGGAGGATTAAGCGACAGAACCCTTAGGAGGCATCAACACGGAGGGCTCTGGGCGTACAGGCCCACAGTTCCCTTGCAGTGATAACACAAGTAGTCAAGAAGGTGTACGGCATGTTTACCTTCCTGGGTCGGGGCACTGAGTACAAAAATTGGCAACAAAAACAAAGGTGCTGCTGTATGAAGAGATTGGAGGGTTGGAGCTACAGGCAGAGGCTGGATAGACTGGGGTTATTTTCCCCGGAGTGTCGGAGGCTGAGGGGGTGACCTTATAGAGGTTTATAAAATCGCGAGGGGCATTGATAAGGTGAATAGACAAGGTCTTTTCCCCCAGGGCAACTTCCTTACACACAGACAGTGGCTTGTATGAAGGAAGAGGTAGATGCAGGTACAGTTACAATATTTAAGAGACATTTGGACAGGTACATGGATGGGATAAGTTTAGAAGGTGATGGGCCAAATGGAGGCGAGCAGGACCCATTTAGTTTGGGAAACCTGGTCACCGTGGATGAGTTAGACCAAACAGTCTGTTTCCACGCTGTATGACTCTAGATCTGTCCAATCTCTCCTCACAGCTAATACCCTCCAAACCGGGCAACATCCTGGTAGCAAACCGTTTCTGTACCCTCTCCAAAGCCCACACATCCTTCTGGTAGGTCCTTCAGTCCACCTCACCCACACCGAACCAGGCACCCCAATCTGACCCAGTCCCATTTGCCAGCGTTTGGCCCATATCCCTCTAAACCTTTCCCAATCACATCCCCATCCAGGTGCCTTTTCAGTGTTGTAACTGTACCAGCCTCCACCCACTTCCTCTGGCAGCTCGTTCCATACACGCACTGCCCTCTGCGTGAAAAAGCTGCCCCTCAGGTCCCTCTTAAATCTTTTGCCTCTCACCTTAAACCTACGCCGTTTAGTTTTGAACTCATTACTCAAGGGAAAAGAGCTTTGCTATTCACCTTATCTATGCCCATCGTGTTTTTATAACTCTCTATAAAGATAACACCCCAACCTCCTACAAAAAGGACCCCAGCTTATCCAGCCTCTCTTCTTGTAACTCAGACCCTCCACACCTGGCAACATCCTGGTAAATCTCTCCTGAACCCCTCTCCTGTTTAGTAACGTCCTTCCTATAAGAGGGCGACCAGAACTCACCAACGTTCCTGTACAACCTCAGCATGACGCCCCAACTCATATAGCTCAAAGCTCTGAGCGATGAACGCTTTCTTAACCACCCTGCGACGCAAATTATGTTCCTGAACCCCTGGAACTCTGTGTTTTACAACATTACCCAGGGCCCTGCCATTGACTGTGCAAGTCCTGCCCACATTTGCCTTACCAAAGTGCATCACCTCACATTTATCTAAAAGTAACTCCCGTCTACCACTCCTCAGCCCACTGACCCAACTGAACAAGACGAGTAATCTTGGTTTATTTTCATTTGGTGAGAGGGCACCCGATAGATGTTCGCACCATTATGAGAAGGGCGCGGATAGGACGGATAGACAGAGTTCATCTCGAAAAGTTTAAAAGGAGACATGAGAGACAAGTGCTTTTTTCTTAAAGCACAAATGCGATGAATGTGCTGCCAGAGGAGGTGACGGTGACGGGCAGGTATGAAAGCAACGTCTCAGGGGTATCTTGCCAAGACAGGGGAACTGCGTAGAGGCCAGAGGTTTTCAGTTCCGAAAGGCATCATGTGGCGGTGCAGTCTTTGTGGGCCGAAGGGCCTGCTCCTGCACTGTACTGTTCTTTGTTCTCTTGAGCAAAGACATTTCCCCTCATCTCTGTCCTACCCCTTATCCTTGAGCTATGACGTCTGGTTATGGGAGCATCCTTCCTGTGTTTACCCTGTCTAACCCTGTTAGAATTTTACAGGTTTCTTTAAGATCCTCCCCCTCATTCTTCTCAATCCCAGACAGTGGAGTCCTAAACGATCCAGGCTCTCTTCATACGTCAGTCCTGCCAGTCCCAGCAATCAGTCTGGTAAATCTTCCTTGCACTCCCTCTGTAGCCAGGGCAAACCTTTCTCAGATAAGGAGACCCAAATTGTGCACACCATACTCCAGGGGTGGTCTGACCATGTACAATCACAGCAAGGCATCCCTGCTCCTCTCCCTCTCTCTCTCTCTCCCTCTCCCTCTGTCTCTATCCCTCCCTCGCCATATACCATTCGCCTTCTCTGCCTGCAACGCTGACTTTCAGCGACTGGGGTGGGGGGCCCCCCCAGGGCCCGGCCCCCCTTCCCCCCCCCCCCCCCCCCACCCCTCGCTTCCCATTCATTCGGCCGCCTTCCTGAGTTTTTTTTAAGCTCGTGTTTATTTGTACCACACCTGCCCAAATTGCACGGAAGCTTTGCATAGTCTGTACGCTCGAGGGAGACAGCACCTTTAGCTGCTTCATGGCCACGTCGCCAATAGCTGCCGGCCTTTCTTCAGCGCCTTTACTCGTACTGCTCCTCATTTCCTGCCTGCCTGCCAGTTCCCTCTCCACATCAGTGCACTAGCCCCCTCCCGATCCCAAGGAATTTTATTTCACACGCTTAGGGGGGGGGGGGGGGGGGGGGGAACCTTACTGAACACCTTCTCAAAGTCTCAGTCAACCACTCCCCCTTATTGACTCCCTACGTGACTGATTTCACTGTACCTAGGTACGCGCCAAAGTTCTGTTTTGCGTTCACATCGTACCGTTCGGAGCGCATGAGGGAAACAGGACAGAGCGAGGAATGCAATGTTACTCAGAGTGAGCGGGATGGAGTACTGGCGGGGTGTGGGGGGAAACGGCGCTGGGGATTAAAGGGGAGCGGGAGCTGGGCTGGGTGCCTACCTGTGTTTTGAGGGTGAGGACCTGGTCAGCCAGCTCATCCTTCTCCTCCCGCAGTAGCTTGTGGATCTGGTTGGATTTGATGCGCTCCGACATGAGCTTGAAGTTCGCGTC